CAAGTACATAGTTTTAACCGTTCCATTACTTGTCTAAAAAAAGGATGTTTGATGAGTTTGAGTCTTTCAGAAGATGAGAGTTAGACCTTTAGAATTGAATAAACAATTGAACCTGTTTGCAATTGCATTAGATCTTAGTCTTTACCGCTACGAGAGTAGAATGATAAGACTAGTTCGAATTAGTAGCTAATAATCGCGATAACCTGTTTAGCTTGATATGCATTCATGTTCTAGGAGAAAAATCGAATCAATTGTCCCTAGGAATTATCTAAATAGTTCAAACTGTGAAACCCTAAGAATCCCTGAACGCCTAACGTTTCTTTATTATTTGTTTAAATCGAATTTAAATACTGTTTGATCACCCTAAAAATTTTGCTTGACTTAGCGTAGTTCTTAGTTTACATTGTTATTGAGTGTTTCTAATTCTTTGTGGATTCGATCCTTAAGCACTATGATCGATTGGTTGTGCACTTACAGCCTAGGTTGTTTTACATCGGGTAAAACTAGATATTTACCTCATCAATCACTGAGTGTGAAAGCTACTCTGTGAGAAACAGCTACCGCAGTGAGCTGTTGAGTTAATCATTTTATGAAATTATGACCTGCACTTCTGATCACATTCTTTAGTTTTTGCATCATCTAGGTTTGGTATCAAGTTTTAGTGTTTGCATGTGTATATATGTATATATAAGCATATTGGTGTATTTTTGTATAGTCGGTTCACGATTTTATGTCTCAATAATAATTGGTTTCTCAGAGAAAACTGTGTGGCTCTAGCTTGGAAATCCAAGTAATCTTATGCATAGTGGATGCATCATGTCTTATGTTCTTGGGCTTTAATGTTGTCCTTGTGGGCCGAGATTTCTCATAACAAAAGTTATTTATTTTTTTGGTTGTTGAGCTTAGTTGAAAGTTGAATTGGCCCATTATGTTCACAATGTCTTGTCAGTTTTGAAACTCGCGTTGACTTTATGAGATGCACTATGCCTATAAAGACTAGATCTGAGATATTGTGTCTTCCAGCTTTCAAAACCCTATGTTGTCTGCTCTCGGCTCAGATCTTCTTGTTTATCTTTTAGTCTGTGGTGGTTTATGTGTTGTGTTCCTCTCATTTGTGTAGGTTACATCATGGCAGCTGAACTACCTCCAGAACCTTATCCTGTTTTTCTTGTTCGTTATGGTCACAACCGCCAGAAGGTCCTTGCTCGTGACACTGAACACCTTACGATCAAGGACTGTTGTAGTTTGAAAGTACGCCACTCTGTCAG